CGCTGTTCCAGTAGTGTATGTTTATATTAGAGCTTTTATCCAAACATATTTCAGCAATCGTGTGTTGCCAGGGTCAAAGAAATCTGCCTTGGGACCTTCAGAATCAACAGTCCTGTCGCTCTAGAATCAATTTGTCTTAATTCCTCAGCATATCCAAAAGCTCAGAAAAACTTGGTGTAACAGAAACTACTGACTGTCTCTTTTCTGGCACTTATGCTTAAAGAAGATTAAGGAAAACGTGGTATAACAAGCACATCTTCGCCCTAAAGGGAGCGGCCCGGAAAATGGAGCACAGCTGGAAGAAAACAAAACTAGAGGTACTTAGTATTGCTTTGAGGGAAAGTACTTCTACATACAGAAAAGCCTTAAAAATGGCTAGATCTGCTTACTTTTCATCTCTTTTAGAAGAAAACAAACACAACCCCAGGTATTTATTCTATACAGTGGCTAAATTAACAAAAAAAATAAAGCATCAGCATGCGCAGACGTTTACCAACAGCACAGCAGTAATGACTTTATGAACTTCTTTACTTCCAAGATCGATACTACTAGAGATAAAATTATATCCATGCAGCCGTCAGCTACAGTATTGCATCAGACAGTGCACTATAGATTACCTGTCAGCTACAGTATTGCATCAGACAGTGCACTATAGATTACCTGTCAGCTACAGTATTGCATCAGACAGTGCACTATAGATTACCTGTCAGCTACAGTATTGCATCAGACAGTGCACTATAGATTACCTGTCAGCTACACCAAAAAACAGATGTGTTAATTATCAGACCAAAAACCCCTATGTGTAAAAATCTAGAACACTGTCTAACACTTGATGGCTGTGCTGTTGATTCTTCCTCATCAGTTAGGAACCTAGGTGTGCTATTTGATAGCAACCTTTCCTTTGAAAGTCATGTTTCTAGCATTTGTAAAACCACATCTTTCATCTTAAAAATATATCTAAATTACAACCTATGCTCTCAATGTCAAATGCAGAAGCGTTAATTCATTCGTTCATGACCTCAAAGTTAGATAATTGTAATGCTTTTATTGGGTGGTTGCTCTGCGCACTTGAGCAGCCGTCAGCTACAGTATTGCATCAGACAGTGCACTATAGATTACCTGTCAGCTACAGTATTGCATCAGACAGTGCACTATAGATTACCTGAGGAACTATTCCACTCTCTGCTAAAGGACAGGAAGAATTGTATAAACTTGTTAACTCATCTAAACCAACAACATGTATGTTAGACCTTTATGACCATATTAGCCCGGTTCTGTCAACTCTGCACTGGCTCCCTGTTAAACATTGTATATATTAAAATCTTGCTAATTACTTATAAAGCCTTGAATGGTTTAGCTCCTCAGTGTTTGAGCGAGCTCTTATCGCATTATAGTCCTTCACGTCTGCTGCGATCTCAAAATTCTAGCCATTTGATAATACATATCAAAATCAACTGCGGACGACAAAAACCTTTTACCATTTACTGCCCAAACTGGAACAATCTACCTAGCATTGTTTGGGAGGCACACACTCTCTGTCAGTTTAAATCTAGATTAAAGACCCATCTCTTTAACCTGGCATACACATAATACACGATCACTTTTCTATAATTCAGATCCGTTAAAAGACTGTTAGGCTGCATTAACGCTTCCAGAAGTCATAGATCCTCTTCTGAATATCATTCATTCATCATTGTCATTAAGATATGTCCCAAAAACCTGCAAACTGGCTGTTATTAAACCTTTCATAAAAAAAAAGAAAACACAACTTGATCCTGGGTCAGCCAGAACCGGGAACACTTCCCATAACACCCGATGTACTTGTTTCATCGTAAGAAGAATGGCATCTACGTTACAGACCGATCTCAAATCTCCCTTTTCTGTCAAAGATACTAGAAAAGGTGGTCTCCTCAAAACTATGTTCTTTCTTAGAGAAAAATGGTCTTTGTGAGGATTTCCAGTCAGGATTTAGACCGTAGTACAGAGACTGCTCTCATCAGAGTTACAAATGACCTGCTCTTATCACGATGTACTTGTTTCATCGTAAGAAGAATGGCATCTACGCTTATTCTGAGGTCACCGTAGCCACCCAGATCCAGTCCATATCCAGATCAGATGGTCACTACAGTCACCTGGATCTAGTATCATCCAGTCCAGATGGTGGATCAGCACCTAGAGATGACCTCTACAGCCCTGAATCTCAGCGGAGGCCATGTCAACTAGACGAAATCTAGAGATAGATCCCCTGTGAAGACCTCGTCGTAAATGACCTGCTCTTATCATCTGATCATGGTTGTATCTCTCTATTAATGCTACTGGATCTTAGTGCTGCGTTACACACTATCGACCATAACATTCATGTCAACTAGACGAACCATAGAGACAGATCCCCTGTGAAGACCTTGATGGCCATCGGCACAAGACCACGAGAACCAGACGAGTCCTCTGCTCAATCTGATGTGCGTTGCAGCCTGGAATTAAACCACACCATGCTGTTTTCATCTGGCCAGAGGAGAAATGGCCCCCCAACTAAGCCTCGTTTCTCCCAAGGTTTTTTTCTCCATTTCTGTCACCGATTTCTCCATTTCTGTCTGTTTTGGTTCCTTGCCACTGTCGCCTTTGGCTTGCTTAGTGGGGGAGACAATTTCTGGAATAGAAAATTATGTTGGCATTTGTGGAATTGCATTGGCATGGTTCAACTCATACTTATCTGACCGTCATCAATTCACAGCAGTGAATGAAGAAGTGTCATATTGTTCACAAGTGCAGTATGGAGTACCACAAGGCTCAGAACAAGAACCGTTGCTTTTCACGCTTTACATGCTACCCTTGGGGGATATCATTAGCTTTCATTGTTATGCTGATGATACTCAGCTCTATATTTCTTTGCGGCCTGACAAAACATACCAATTCGCAAAACTAACAGAATGCATAGCTGATATAAAAAACTGGATGACTAGTA